ATCCTGCATTTTTTCAATAAGCTCAAGCCTGACTTGAAGGTCGGCCTCATCAAAATGAGACGCCTCTTCTGAACCGAAAAAGTCATTTAAAGCCACTAGCTGCCGAAAAACCGAGTCAGCTTTGGCTTTATAAAAGTCAAATCACTATTGGTCCCGGATGGGCACGCAGTAACCGAATCATTCTCTGCCATTTTATTTTCAAAAAGAGTATTCAAAAGTCACCTTGGGTTTGCGACCGATGCAGCTGTACCAAACGCAGAGAATAGAGAACGAAAGAATAGCGGAGCCAAGCTTGGCGTTCACTGACCGCGAGCTAACGGTTCTATCGGACCACCAAAACCAACAGCACAAACACAATTTGCACGAAAAGTATATAAAAGGGCTGCAACTATCTGCTAGTGCACAAATATATAAAGAGATGCTATGTACTCGAATGTACCGATAAAGTTCAATAGCGATGCAACGATATGCAATTGTATTGTGTGAGCATACGAACTATATATAAGCACTTTTCACCTTTTATTTTAACGAAAACGATTTTTTACGCGATCACGTCGGGGTCACCAAATGTTTTGAGGAGGGCATTAATTTATGCCACCTATTAAGCGAATTGATTTAGCGAGGGGTTCGTTTTTTGTTGGCGTAAAATTAGTTATGTTTTAATTTGTGTGTGCTTGTGTGTGGTTTGGTTACAAAGTTTTTGTGTGTTTTTAGTTTCAACGTAAGTGAGCGAAAGAAACGAGAGAATAGATAAACCAAACAGAAGAGCTGCGGCGGAAGAGCTTTCATGCCGGCTTATGAGGTGGAAAGCTTCTGCCGCAGCTGATCGCTTGTTTACAAATAATGATTTAAAACATGCTAATATTAAATCTGCTGCTTCTGCTCCCGACAGCTTTATTATTATTTGCTTCCGCTTTCTTCACTATTGTTTCTTCTTCTTCACTAGCTACTTCTAGCTGATCATTGCGCTTCACTATTGTCTCACTTCCTATTTTTGCCCTGCGAGCTGCCGCCGCACATGCAGCCACATGCCTTGCAGCGCCTTTATACTTCACTTCTTCCGTCTCACTCACTGTTTCTCTACTCTTCTTTACTTCTGTCTCTGTCAGGCTCCTCTCCACTTTTTCACTTTTCCACTTTTACACTTTTTCACTATTTACCACTTTTTCACTTTTAACTTTCGACCCTATAAATCATATACAGTTTGTCAAGTAATTCTTTGCAAAACGAAAATTCTTTACAATTTTATGTTTAAACTGAAAATTTATTAACAAATAATAGTTTTTATTCAAATTTTTTTTTATAGTATTATTAGAATAACTTTAATCTATGAATATAAAAAACAAAACATAAATATTTCAACTTAAAACATAGTAAAAAATAACAAAAACAAATTTATTGCAATTCTTATGCTGTCAATTAATTCTTTGCATTTCGTAAAGACGTTGTAGTTCAATAATAATAACTTAAAAACTATAACAGCTGCGGGGTTAATATTTGTGTGGAATCCCTTTACATCTATTACAGCCTGTAGGCGTCGCGACATTGACTTTATTAGCCCGTTTAAATCGTAGTATTCTGGGATTTTCTCCCATTCCTCCTGTATGGCTTTTATTAGGGCCTTCTTACTTGTTGGAGCCCGTTTAGCCACTTTCTTTTTTAGTAAAGCCCACAAATTTTCTATTGGATTTAGATCTGGGCTTTGTGCAGGAGTGTCAATTACTTTTTTACAATTATACAGGAGCCAGTTCCTGCACAGGTGCGATTTGTGCTTGGGGTCGTTGTCCTGGTACAGCTTATATTTATTATTTTTTGGTTGATTCGCGTCATGCCAACCAAATTTCGCCGCGCTTCTTGTTAATTCATTTTTAAGGATATCCAAATAAACTCCTTCGTCATAATATCGTTAAAAATTCGCAGCTCACCAACGCCTTTGGATGATATACACCCCCATATCATCACAGACAATTTGCCAAATTTCACTGTCGGTATAATGTTTTTCGACTGGAAAGCTGTTTTTGGCTTCCTCCAAACTTTATTGGGTCCTTCATGAGTGTGTAACATTATTTTTGTCTCGTCACAAAAAATAACCTCATCCCAATAGACAGCAGGCAGGTTAACGTGGGCGATAGAAAAGTTAAGCCGCCTTTCAATATTTAAAGATGAAAGCATCGGTTTCTTCCTGGCTACGTGTGAGGAGTATTTGTGTAGATTTAGGACTTTCCTCACAGTCTCATGGCTAACGGTTTTTCCGCAATCATTTTTTAGGTCCAAAGCCAACTGTCTGAGAGTTGTTTGCGGGTTATTATCAATTTGTTTTAAAATTTTTGAATGGTCGCGTCTGGTGAGCTTTGGTGGTCTGCCTGTAGAATTGTTTAGGTGGAGTCTATTTTCCTTTTCAGCCCGTCTAATTATGTTATAAATGGTTCTTAACTTAATGTTAAACATTTCTGAAAGTTCCAAAGCCGATTTGCCTTTGTAATGGTTAAAATAAACCAATTGTATGGTATTGTCGTCAATTCGTTTGCCTGGCATGATTAAAATATTGGACTCGATCAAACACGAACTGTTCCCAACGAAATTTTCAAGAATATAAAAGTAAAGACCACTAAGAAGTGGCAAGCGTAAATTTTCCCCAGAATTAGCTTTGCGTTGCTTAATTCTAGGAACCTCTTCAACTCCTGTTTGCATTTTGCAAAGAATTAATTGACAGCATACGAATTGCAATGTTTTTGTTTTTGTTATTTTTTACTATGTTTTAAGTTAAAATATTTAAGTTTTGTTTTTTATATTTATAGATTAAAGTTATCCTAATAATATTATAAAAGAAAATTTTCAAAAATTCTTGTATTTGTTAATAAATTTTCAGTTTAAACCCAAAAATGTGAGGCAATTTTCGTTTTGCAAAGAATTACTTGACAAACTGTATATTCTTGATCAGCATCAACAACTGAATCGATATAGCGTTGGTCGTGAGGAAAAAATATATTACTACATTTTTGGAACATTTTTAATAATATATATTGAAATTGCACATTTATTAACCCTATAAAACCGCAGAACAGAACTTAGTTTTAAAAATTTTACATTTATTTATGTATTAAATAAGAATAAGGCTCTTGAAAATTTCGTTTCTTTGGTAAAACTTGTTGTGGCCCTGAAAAGGGCCTTTTTAATGTTCCTCCGCATCTGCGAGAAAATTTACTTGGAGCTGGTGTACTTGGTGACAGCCTTGGTTTCCTCACTGACGGCGTGCTTAGCCAACTCTCCGGGCAGGAGCAGGCGAACAGCAGTTTGGATTTCCCGACTGGTGATGGTAGAGCGCTTGTTGTAGTGCGCCAGACGAGAAGCCTCGGCAGCAATACGCTCGAAGATGTCATTCACAAAGCTGTTCATGATGCTCATCGCTTTCGAGGAAATGCCAGTGTCGGGATGGACCTGCTTCAGGACCTTGTAAATGTAGATAGCATAGCTCTCCTTCCTCTTCCGCTTCTTCTTCTTGTCGTTCTTGGTGATGTTCTTCTGGGCCTTGCCAGCCTTCTTGGCTGCCTTTCCACTACAGGGTGCGGCAAGAAATCTTGCTGATTTTAGAAGGTTATAAAAAAAAGTAGTTGACATACCATTCCAAATTTTTTTTATTCTTGTAACACACATGCTGAAGTTTTCATTACACTGTTTTGAAGATTACATCGGACAAGTGATGGCCGCCGTTTTCAATGCACTGAGATACCCGATTTTCGAAGCTCAGCTGAACTCTCTCATGCATATCGACGGATATCTTTGCGATTGCTTGCCGAATGTTATTCTTCAGGTCGTTTAGGGTTCGAGGCCGATCGGTGTAAACGATCGATTTGAGGAAGCCCCATAAAAAGAAATCGCACGGCGCCAAATCAGGTGAGCGCGCCGGCTACGTGAGGTCACCCCTCAAGGAGATTAGACGACCGGGGAAATGTTCCTTCAAAAGATCCATTGACGTTCGTGCTGTGTGGGCCGTGGCTCCATCTTGTTGAAACCACACATCACCAAGGTCCAGTTCATCCAGTTTTGGAATGAAAAATTCTTCAATCATCTGTCTATAGCGAGCTTCATTCACCGCAACAGTGCGTTCGTTTTCTTCGAAAAAGTAAGGACCAATTATCCCTACTCTCGAAACTGCACACCACACGGTGACACGTTCACAATGCAGTGGCGTCTGATGAATTTCACGCGGATTGTGATCACTCCAATAACGCATGTTTTGCTTGTTCACACAACCGGAAATGTGAAAGTGAGCCTTATCACTAAAAAACACGACCGCGTCATCAGGCAGGTTTTCGTGGAGCGCTTCACAAGCATTTCGGCGGCCAACAAAATCGCGTTCATGAAGCTCTTGCGCCAAAGCCAATTTGTAAGGATGAAATTGAAGATCCTGGTGAAGAATTCGTCTTACAGTGCGATCAGAAATGCCCAAAGCAGCTGCATGTTTGCGCGCCGAACACCGGGGAGATTGCAAAACAGAAATCCTCACTCTCTCAATGTTTTTCTGTGTTCTGACTCTCCGATGAGCTGGATGGGATTTTGTCACATTCCCGCTCTCCCTGAATGTTTTCACCCACGAAACAATCGACTGCCGGCCAGGACCGCGACCTGCAGGATGAATGTTAAAGCGAGTACGGAAGGCACGTTGAGTGGCAATTACGGAACGACCGTTGGAAAAGTAGGCAGGCAAATGCGCGCTGCTCTTTCGTCCAATGCATGATGTCGACTGACTGCGGAATAGACGAAACTTCAGGAAGTCACCTAAAACATGGAACACTCCCCACCCTCACTCGACCACTCCACGAAGCTTGGCACCAAAAACAAATAAGCAAGTTTTCAGATTCACTGATCATAGCAGCAAAGTTTTGGTGTTCGCTCTTATACTTTTTATCAAGCAATGTTTTCAGGTCTGTGGCGACCCACCCCTTACTGAACGCACAGGCAGAGTCAAAAGTATAAATTCGTGAACATCGACCCTTCGAGCTACATTCGTTCTTCGTGTGTGTGAAGTGAATAAAGTGAAATAAGAGAAAATGTCTGGTCGTGGAAAAGGTGGCAAAGTGAAGGGAAAGGCAAAGTCCCGCTCCAACCGTGCCGGACTTCAGTTCCCTGTCGGCCGCATTCATCGTCTGCTCCGCAAGGGCAACTACGCCGAGCGCGTTGGTGCCGGCGCTCCAGTTTACCTGGCTGCCGTGATGGAATATCTGGCCGCTGAGGTTCTCGAGTTGGCTGGCAATGCTGCTCGTGACAACAAGAAGACTAGGATCATCCCGCGTCATCTGCAGCTGGCCATCCGCAACGACGAAGAGTTGAACAAGCTGCTCTCTGGCGTCACCATTGCCCAGGGAGGTGTCTTGCCCAACATCCAGGCTGTCCTGTTGCCCAAGAAGACCGAGAAGAAGGCTTAAGCGTTTTAACAGCGTGCCAAGTCAAACTTGTACATAGAAACACAAACTCAAACCCAAACGTCCTTTTCAGGACGACCAAACCATTTCAAAAGAAACTACAATTTTTAAATATGCTTAAGTTTAAAATAATTAATTCATAAACTATTAAATACATTTTTTTTTTATAGTTAAAGTAAGGTGGTCGGTATAAAGTGTAAAACGAAAATGGAACAAAAATGCAGAAAGTACAGTCGTCAGGGGACAATTCCGGTGACAAACATTAGCATTAATTTTCTTGAAAATTTTGGGTACAGTTTGCATCTTAAAGATACATGGACATAAAATAGGAAAACCGGGAATTCATTCCCATCGGGACTGTTTGAGCTACCTACGGCATGATTGCCTACCTACGAAAAGCCCGACCAATTAAAATGTATTAGGCGTTATTATTCGTCTGGAATAAATATGAAATATAGCACAGTTCACCTTCGACAGTCTAACCGATCGGTCGTGTTCTTCCGCGAGACGTCTACGTAGCGCAGCATCAAAACATCCAAACGCTAGCACAAAGCAAACGAAAACAATTCTTATCTCTACTTCAACCGGAGCGACAAACAAATTTTGGCAACTTTTAAGAGGCCTTAAAGTTTTTTGACCCCACAATGCTTGACCCACCGGACATCTGGAGAAAGCATCCGCCTGACGGAATATACTTGGTTGCAACTAGAACTGATGAGAGTTCCCAGCCACTAGCTGCTATCTGCCCATTCATTGTTAAAAAAACAATCGACAATGCCATTCAGGGCGAAGTGTCAAGTTGCAAGAGAACCAAAGACGGTAACTTACTCATTAAAACTAAAAATCTGCTACAAGTCGAAAAGCTAATGAAACTTATCAGCATGCCTTCTAACACTCCATACATCGATATACCCATAAAAATATCAGAACACCGAAGCCTTAATTCCAGTGTAGGAATAATTTATTCAAATGATTTACGAGGAATAGAAGAAAAAGTTATCTTGGAAAACCTAAAATCACAAAAAGTAGAAAGAGTCGATAAAATATATAAATATATACCTAACCAGGTCCTCCAAAAAACTGAACAAAACGAAACGGGTCTTATTAAAATCTTTTTTAAGCAATCCAATCTGCCAGAATTCCTCTATATTGGATACGAGAGAGTTCAGGTGCGCACATTTATACCTCGCCCTATGCGCTGCAACAATTGCTCTAGATTTGGACATACTGCAAAATTCTGCAAAAACACTCCAACCTGCGCCAACTGTGGTATGGATGCCCATGTAAACTATGAAAATTTAGAAATTTGCCAAAACAAGTCCAATTGCATAAATTGCTGCCTTAAAAAACTCCCAGCAACAGACCACCATGCCCGCAACAAGGACTGCCCTGTCTTCTTGTCGAACAAGGAAGTCCAGGCCATCAAGACCCTACAAAAAGTCGACAATAGGACAGCCTGGTCCATATATAACAAAAGACACCACGATGGATCACTTTACTCCTCAGCAGCGAAATTAAATGTAGCCCACTCTTCCCAACAATCAACAAGGAAACCAATTAGCTATGCCCCAAATGAATTTGACACACCAACATCCGAGAACCCCGAGCCAGACGAACCTATGTCATCCAGCTCGGAAACCCCCTGCACTTCCCATACTGCAAAAAAATCGGCAAAAATTCTTCATTTCAGCTCAACAAACAGAACAAAAAGACTATTAAAAAACGATCAAAGCGCAATAATAACTAGAGCAAAACTTAAATCCCTTGCCTCAAGTGAGACAAAAACAACGCATTAATAATCAAAATGACCCTGAAACTCTTACAATGGAACATGAATGGATACCTGAATAATTACAACGAACTGCAAGTCTTAATAAAACGCTTTACTCCCAAAATCATTTCACTGCAAGAAACCCACATTACATACACCCAACCAATCCCTATTCCAGTAAACTTCGACATTCACTACACAGCCTCCCATAGCCCGGATGGCGGAGCGGCAATTTTAATTCACAAATCCATTCAGCACAAACTCATCCCTATTCAAAACTCAGTTGATTCCATAGCAATAGAAATTCAGTCTGTAAAAAAATTCAATATTATATCTTCTTATATATCTCCCAACACTAAATTTAATCACATGGATCTACGTTCGATTATACCATCAGGTAACTGCCCAAATCTGATTACAGGGGACTTCAACAGCTGGGGATCTCCAACAATAAATCAGAGAGGTAGAATATTGGGAAAATTTATCCTGGACAATAATTTCATTATCCTTAACAACGGACAACCCACACATTTCTCAACACATAGAACGTTAACACACGTTGACTTGGCATTCTGCTCACCTGAACTAAAAATATTTTGCGACTTTAAAATCAGTGACTCTCTCCAAGGTAGTGATCACTTCCCAATCACCATCGAAATTTTCCCGAAAAACCAGAGAGCAAGACAAAAGTATGTACAACGGTTCGTTACTTGCAGAGCTGATTGGGAAAAATTCGAGACGCTCACTGATGACCTGAACAACAAAATTCCAATTTCACCAAACATTAATCAGGAAGCGGGTAACATCAAGAAAATTATATTGCAAAGTGCATACGAGACCACCTAGATCACACCATAATGTCCCTTGGTGGAACAACAAATTGAATAGTATGAGAAAGGAAAAATGAAAGCCTGGCGAACTTTCAACAGAGACATGTCCATTGAGAATCTCATCCAATATAAAAAAATCAACGCACAATTCAGAAGGGAATTAAAATCCAGCAAAGCCGAAAGCCTATTTAAATTGACTTCAACAATCTCCCCACAGTCCAAGCCGGAAGCAATTTGGAGCAATATTAAGAAACTCTGTGGCCTTCACAAAGCCACACAAATACATGCAATAAAGGACAACAGCAGTAGCGATCTTCTTAACAGCTCTGAAGAAATTACCCAAGCTTTCGCAAGCTATTGGTCTCTTCGCTCGGAAGACTCCCAATTTTCCAATTCCTTTATTGAAGAAAAACTCAAACTGAGTATGCGGAACTACTTAAATCCCCCACACCGAACTGCAGCCTTTATGGAACAAGATATAAACTTCCTAGAGTTCTCATCTGCTCTAAATAGCTTAAAGGGTCACACCCCAGGACAAGATAAGATAAATTACAATATGATAAGACACGTAGCTGATTCACTCAAAATGAGAATTATATACTTTTTCAACAATATATTAAAATCCTATATTCCTCAATCATACAAAATTAGCACAATTATACCAATACATAAACAAGGTGCTGACAAAACCATGACTGAATCGTACAGACCTATCTCTCTCAACCCATGTTTGTCTAAAACCCTCGACAAGATAATCTCAAAACGGCTATGGTGGTTTGCAACAAGTAACAAACTACTAAATAGCCGTCAACTGGGATTTAAAAAGGGAAAATCTGTTATGGACTGTCTGCTAATCACAGACGCTCTAATTAGCAGAGCCCTCTCTGGAAAAAGACACATATCCATCTTATCTCTTGACTTTGCAAAAGCATTCGAAAAAATAGGATTACATACCATCATTAATCAGTTGTCGGAATGGGGCTGTGGACCATTGATAATCAGATATGTGATTAACTTCATGTCAAACAGAAAAATCAGAGTTCGGGCCAATAATAACACCTCAAGGATACACCCACTCCACAATGGCATTCCACAAGGATCTCCACTCTCTGTAATTCTCTTTCTCATTGCGTTCAACAGTCTCTCAGATATAATCGACAAGCACAAGGAACTTCAACACACAGCTTATGCAGACGACTTCAATATCTTAATACCATTAAAAAAAGACAAAAACATTTCAATCAACCTCGATACGCTCTTTGCTGAAATCAATGAGTGGTGCCAAAAATCCGGAGCTATGCTTTCAATCTCAAAATGCAAACATATTCACATTTGCCGGAAAAAACAATGTTCATGCCAGGTCTCTACACAATCCACAATTATTAACACAGTTAACGAACTCACCATTCTAGGTCTATCTTTCAACAAAAAATACAATTTCAAACCCCATATTACTAAACTACACAAGTCACTACAGAAATCATCGAACATAATTAAATGCCTTTCCAACGGAAAATATAACAGCCACCCCAACACCCTAATCCAAATCGTCAAAAGTCTATGCATTTCCAAAATTGATTATGCTCTACCGATATATGGTAACTCCCCGAAATCACTAATAAAACCAATTAAAACCTTAATTAATTCACTCCTACGAACTTCTCTGGGAGCCTTCTGTTCTACACCCACTTTCAATTTATACCTAGAAGCAAATATTGAACCAATAGATAACAGAATCGACCACTTAAAAACAAAAACAATCAACACTATTATCCACGCAAACGACACCCCTCTAAGGCAAATCATTCACCGGATTACCAAAAATAAAACAAAAAAATATCGATCCTCCGCCGTTAACCACTGCATTAATCTTGGCCTAAAGCTCGGATTCCCCACCTCTCTTCCCCATAAGCCAAAACCATCATGTCCACCCTGGTTTCTGGATACCAACCAGATAGATACCCGACTAAGCCGAGTAAAAAAATCAGACACCAACAAGGACATATTTGTCAAACAATTTCTGGAAATCAGACACCAGCTTATTAGCAAAAATTTCACGCTTCTGTTCACAGATGGATCCTTGAGTAAGGAAATAATTGGCTTTGCGATAACGACAGAAGAGGAAACACTGAAACAAGCTATCCTTCCAAGCTACTCATCTGTATTTACAGCCGAGGCGATTGCTATCCTTGAAGCCATCAAAATAGCAGTCAAGACAAGAGGGAAATTTTGCATCTGCTCAGACTCCCTATCCACATTGGAAGCACTTGCAAACATAAACAATTCCAACTTTTATGTATCATATATCCGCGACCTTCTGCTAAGACACAAAAACAAAATCAAGCTCTTATGGGTCCCCAGCCACGTCGGAATCAAAGGCAACGATAAAGCCGATACAGCAGCAAAAGAAGCGACCAATGCTCCACTACTAACAATACCAAATGTTAACCGTGGAGACATCAACAATCAAAT